TTTGTGCCTATAGCTCACATACAAAGAATCGGTGGTTTGCTCGTGTTCTAATAGCGCCCCCTACAGGACTTTTTAAAAAGGGCAGCCCGGGTGCCACATGTCACGATATACTGTATGAAACTCGGTAGGCATGTGTAACGTGCCAAGACCGTACAAAAAAGCCCTGTGGCACCCATGCCCCAAAAACCCACAGGAATTCGGCTATTTTCATTTGAATTTTCACTTTTTCTGCCATTTTGTGGTCATTTTCACTATTTGGTTCTGAACTCCTCCTTAGGGAAATTTCTCGGATCTGCTTTCAAAAATTGGGGTCAGTACAGTTAAAAATGGTGGCCTGAATGAACGCGTGCTATTTGCGACTGTATCGTTGAAGGGCGTGGTCTGGTGGCTTGCCTTCAAATTTGGCCATTTTGAATCCGAATGTTCAAACTGTGATGTCATTTTTGGCATTTCAGGGCTTCTATTTTAAATAACTCCTCCTACAGATTTTATTCACACTGACTTTAAATTGGTCGCACAGTCAAAAAATGTGGGCTGAATGAATTTACCATTCATTTTGTGACTGTACGGTTGAAGGGTGTCCGTGGCATGCCGTCAAAGTCAGCCATTTGACTTTCCGTGGTCGTTTTTTTCCGTTGTTTGTGTAACAAATTACCGTCCAAGGGAATTTGTCGGTTCTGCTTACAAAGATTGGTCAGCACAGTCACATAAATAGTGCTGAATTAAAACGCCGTGCATTTTGTGACTGTATTTGAAGGGCGTGACCGTGGGCGTGCGTCAAAGTCGGCACTGTGATGCCATTTCCGGCAATTTCAGGGCTTTCTATTTTAACTGACTCCTACAGATTTGATCAATATTGACTTCATATTCCATCACTTTGTAATCTAGGACACATTGGTGATCGTAAGTTAAGTTTACTATGCCGTCAAACTGTGTGGTCCGTGGCGTGGTGCTGAATTCCACCTTGTGCACTGAAGATTCTCTCTATTGAAAGCTCAAAGTGCTTTGCAGTTGTCTGAAACACCGTGGACAACGTATGTAGAGCGGTCTCCCTTCAGCTTCTATCGATGAGGGCTTGGGAGTTGGGTTGGACCGTGAAAATTTTATGTTGTGCTCCGCACGTTTGTACGACGGCACGTGATGGAGGTCCGCGCCACCGGGCCCCGGGAGTCAGGGGTGGAGTGCGAGGTCCCGCCCAATGCTGCTTGCAGCTTTAATATATTATTTGGGAATCACTGCGACGCTGCATATTTGGGTGGCCCCAACATACTTAAAAGTCATGGAAAATTTGCACAAAATTCAAATCGGTAGCCGAAAATATCGGCTATACAATTGTCCCCGTGCACGGGCGCCACAAAATGGCGGAGCCCCGCCCCCCCAAATCAGCCCTTCAAGACACGTCAGGTTGACATGTATGAAATCCTCGGCGCGTACATGACCTGTGTGGGTACTCCGTGGACTAAAAGGAGCAGGCAGAAAAGCCCCCTTTCCCCTTTTTTTTGGAACCCCCAATTATTCTCAAACCCAACAGGGAACTGTTGGCCAGTTTGAAGTTTCACTCACGGCGGCCATTTTGTGTGTTCATTTTCACTTTGTTGGCCTTGTAGTTTTGAAGGAACTTCCTCCTAGGGAATTTATCGGATCTGCTTCAAATTGGGTACGCAGTACAGGTCAAAATCCAACACAAAATGTTGCTGGAGGTGGATGAACGCTGTGCTATTGCGACTGTCACGTTGGAAGGGCCGTTGTCTGTGGCGTGCTGCAAAAGTTGGCCATTTTGACTTTCCATGGCTCCAGTTTTTCATGAAGTTTTCCCGCTTGTATTTGGAACAAGGACTCCTCCTACAGCTCTTTTATCAGTTCGACTTCAAAATTGGTCAGTACAGTCAAAAAAATGTTGCTGAATGAACGCCGTGCATATTTGTTGACTGTACGTTGAAGGGCGTGGTCCATGGCGTGGCCGTCAAAGGTTGGCCATTTTGAATTCCGGTTTTGTATTTTGAACGACACACCTCCCAGGGAAGTTTTATCGGGGGGATGACTTCAGATTTGGGACACAGCCATCTAACACATTCATGATTAAAAGTTGGTGCTATTCACTTCTATTCCATTGAAACACGTGGTGACGGTGGCGGTGGCGTCCCATGACGTCCAATTTCGATCCCTCGCCATAAACAAGGAGGGGATTTTGTCAATAACTTGTGCATACATTGATCCGACTGCCAACCAAACTTACATGTTTGATAAGAGCCCGCCCTCGGAACACGTCTATGTGATTAATATTCAGTAATACTGAGAGCACCACCTAGTGGGAACAGCAAGTATCATGTTTTATACTTTCATGTTCTACTGACTAGCCAGGATGATCAGATCCAGCTGAGAATTGTACTTATAAAATGCAAAACACATTGTTGATGATTATGTGGATGGAATTGGTGAGGGGCTGTCTGTGCGTGGCGGGAATCTTTGGATGTACCACCACAAAACACGAATTTGCTATAACTTAAGTTGTACATTGTCCAATCAGCTCCAAACTTCACTTGTCTGATAAGATCCCACCAGAACCATGTCTACATGACAGTATTCATACATAGTGATAAGCGCCACCTACTGGCAACAGCGACGTAAGTGCTGTTGTGGCAACTTTTGAGCTTGATTTACGTGAGATTTTTCATGTTGGTGGGTCCGCATGTGTTACGACGGCACGTTGACGCGGCCGCACCACGCCCCGAGTCCGCGTGGAGTGCGAGGGTCCCCCCAATGCTGCTTGCAGGCTTTAATTAAAGTGGAAAGGCGAAAGTGGAAAGAATCACCACAAACAAATATTACTCAGACTGTGTGTGTGCGTGTGCATACAGGAAGCAGCTGGTGGAACCTGATGGTTTGATTGACAGACAGACAGAGGAAATACCTTATAAGGAAGTCAGGTGAGAAAAGAGTGAAGGAAGGACGGAATAAAGGAGGGAATGAAGGAATGAAGGAAATGTTTTTGTGTCCTCCAGAGTCTTGAGAGAACCAATAAGAATGCGTCTTTCACCAAGAGGGTGGAGACATCATCGGTGGGCATCAGCTACAGACCTCCAGTAGGTGTCAATCAAATGTTTCAGTCAGTGATGTCATTAGTTAATGATTAAAATAACTGATCATCAGGGCAGAACCTAAACCTGAATTACTACCTGTCCAGGTGAGCTGCTGTTTGTCTCTGTTCTCTAGTTCAAAGACGGAGCTGCTTCCTCCTCTTCCTGTTACAAAGGCAACTGAAAGCTCCTGTCGATTAGCCACAAGTCCCTGAAGCAGATGCCGACTAAATCTTTACCCACAATTCAATGTTCATTTCCTTTGTATGAAATGTTCTGATTTTGGTTGATGTTTGTATTTTACATTGAAAATAAAAATAATTCAAATGGATTCAATTCAATTCAATTCAGGCAGAAACAGGAGAGAGGAGAGACAGATCAGAGACAGAGAGGAGAGAGACAGACAGAGACAGGAGAGAAGAGAGAAGAGAGACAGAGAGAGAGAGTATCTGTGTAACACATTGAGCAGCAGAATCTTACAGCAGAAGGGTAACTCTAACCCTAATTCCCTAACCCAAAGAACACTACTTACAGACAAGAAGCAGAAGAGTTGTTTAAATGGAAGATCTGTGCACTCTTAGTGGTCTGGATCCTCTCTGGGTGAGTCTCTCATTAAATATCTGACCAATAATCTGATTAATTTAAAGATACTTTTTAACCTTTTTAAATCAGTCAGATGTTAAGTTTATGTTTATATTAAACTTAACTGAAATACAGTACAGTCTCTATCAGTCAGTGTTTGGTTAGTCCATTCTAGGTTATTGTAGAAACATGCGTCTCATTCTAAGGCAACAGAAACACATTAATTCTTATTTTCAGGTGGTTATAGACTAATGAAAACATAACTATGGATATTATATTCCAATATTGTGACACAATGGAGCTTTAAACTATTTCAACCTATTGACACGTCACTCACCTGTGAGATGTGAACACTGATGGTGTTTTCTGGTTTCAGGACTGGAATCTGACCTGGTACACCTCGCAACCAGACCTGACCCAGTGTTTCCAGCACACTGTACTGGTTTGGTCCCCCTGCGTTTACCTGTGGACCTGTTCTCCTCTTTACCTGCTGTACCTGCAGTTCCGCCCACACCGAGGCTTCATCCCACTGTCCAAACTCTGCTGCAGCAAGACGGTAAGACCCAGTGCTAATGCTGAACCAGGTACCAGGACTCGAGGACTCTCTGGTTTAACCCTGGTCTCTGTGGTTTTTGTTCTAACCCTGGTCTCTTTGGACCCTGTTGCAGCTTATGGGTCTCAGTCTGGCTTCGTTCGGCCTACTGGAGATTTTTTACTTCCTGGTGAAGAAAAATGAAGAGACCCAGAACCACCTGTTGATCCTGATGGGCCCACTGATTCGGAGCCTAACCCTGGTACACTATTCTTCTTCTTTGTTAGCTCAGGAGGTTGACCAGGTTGTCCACTAATCATAAGGTTGGCAGTTCAATCCTTAGTTCTTCCAGCTGCATGTTGAAGTGTCTTTGAGCAAGATACTGAACCCCTGTATGAATGTGTGTGACTGTAGTGTTAAAGTGCTTTGAGTGGTCAGAAGACAAGAAAGGAACAATATAAGTGCAGTCAAATTACATTCTTCTTCCTCCTTCTCCTCAGGTTCTTGCTGTTGTTATAATCCAGGTAGAGCGGATGAAGGGCTGTCGTTCGTCTGTCCTCCTCTTCCTCTTCTGGACTCTTCTGGTTCTCTGCTCCCTCGTTCCTCTGAAGGTTGACATTGAGCAGATCATTTATCAGGTATCAACCCAGTTGAGAAACTACAGTACAGTCAGTGTTTGGTTTGTCCATTCTGGGCTACTGTAGAAACATGCTGGTTCAATATGTCAGACTCCTGGCTCCCTCTGTAGATAAAAACATCTCATTCTAAGATAAGAGAAACACTAATGAAATAATAATGATGAAGTATTATATTCAGGGAGTAATGATTACGTGTAACAGAGTTATCCAATCTGGATAAAAACAAATATTATCCATCACAGTTACAGAAAAAAAGACAAGTCAAGTCAAATTTATTCAAAATACAATATGTATATTTTCTTAAATAGAGTCAGAGGGACATTCAGTTTGACCTACTGTATTAGCTCAGGTCAGATTTCCTTTAATGTCAGACTGAGATAAAGAGAAAACTGCCTTTAGGAGATAACTGAAGGGCCCCTGTTCTACTTTTCCCCTCCCATCAGACCTGGGATAAGTGCTGGGAAATGGAAGGATATTTCCTGTTTAATGATCTCCTTACTGCCTTCTTGTTTCAGTCTGTCTGTTTTCTTTTTCTCTTTTATGTTACCCAGCTCTTTCACCACTGTACATCCTCTCAGTTTGATTCTCCTCTTCTTCGACAGCTTTTCTTCTCTCTGTTCTTCTCTTTCAGCTGCAGTATTTCACAGCTCTCTGAAGGTTAAAGTTTCTCTGGCAGGGTCTAAATGTACTTTCCTCTAAACATGTGAATACTGTGTATGAGTTTGTGTTGTGTTTGTGTCGTTTCTTAGAAAGCAGTTCATATGTAACTGATAATTACATACGAGGCTTCCTGGAAAAGACAGAAGAGTATTAATCTACAGAGTTCAGTAAAACAGATACCAATAAAGCAGGTGGACAGTTGATAGTAGTATCTACTGGGTTATAAGAGAAAGGTTTATTACAGTTTCTACTGTGACTTCTCTTTTGTAAAATTTTCTCAGACCTTTAGTTATATCAACTAATATTTTCATCTGAATGCTTTAACAGCAAGGGAAATGTTTAATTCATTTTTCAACATTCAAGTTTGAATTCTTCACTTTTAGTAGTGATATCAGATATGTGATATTTAAATACAAAAACTTCTTGAGTATTTCTATCCTATAACTTTTGACCTCTGACCTCTGCTTTTTTAGGGTTTTTTGTCAGACGCTGTTCGTTTTGTGGCATTCTTCATCTGTTTTTGTCTTCAACTAATTGAGCTCATCCTCAGCTGCTTTTCTGACCACCGACCACTCTCTGAAAAAGACACCTACGTACAGGTAACACACACGCACCTACGTACAGATAACACACACGCACACTTACGTACAGGTAACACACGCACACACCTACATACAGGTAACACGCGCACCTTTGTACAGGTAACCCACACGCACACCTATGTACAGGTAACCCACACACACCATCGTACAGGTAACCCACATGCACACCTACATACAGGTAACCCACACGCTCACCTACGTACAGGTAACACACACCTACGTAAAGGTGAAGTCATTTTCAAACCTTTTGATTGATCAATTGATTGATTATCAAAGGATGATTCTCTCATTATCATATATTTTTAATTAAACTTTTTTATTAAAACATGGTTCTTCCTTGTTAGAACCAATGTCCAGAGGAAGATGCCTCATTTCTCTCTAGGTTTTTCTTCTTCTGGTTCAGCAGGTAAGAACATCACAGCTGAAACACTCACATCACCAAAACACCACGGCTCACGACTCCACATTTAGTTCTTGTTATGTTGTAGAGTTGGTTTAAATTTGTATTAGATTTTAATGTTTAACTACCCTTGTGTTTACTTTTTCTTAATAATTTAACTACTACTACTACTATTACCATAGGCAGAGCTAGGGCATCATGGGCAAGCTAAATTAGAAGCGCTCCCGATGGCCTGTAGAATACTGAAAGTTTGAACAATAGTTTGCTCAAACTCTGAGATCTGTTTTCTGGAGGGCCTGAGATGCAACATGGATGATGTGCAGGGCATGGAGCACAATCACACACAAAGGATTCCAGTCTTCCCACGCTGTAATGCAGGCCTGGAGTCCGTGAAGTCTCAGTAAATCTGCAAAACTCAGCGTGATCATAGAGTGATAGAGTGGTCATGATGAGTTTCTCACAGCTGACATTATACCATCTACAGTCCCATTGTGTGTTGATGAAGGAGGTGGAACCACTCAGATAGATAGATAGATAGATAGATAGATAGATAGATAGATAGATAGATAGATAGGATACTTTATTATCCCAAGGGAAATTCAAGGCATCCCAGGTAGTTTTATTGGCATCATAATAATTCAAGACTACGGAGGGTTTAAGCAATACATTCATACAGGATTTCAGGATATTTAACAAATTAAATTAACTTTTATGGGCAACAGTAGCCATACACTGTATTAATTGGATATTAACTTGTTGCAGCAGGAATTAAATAATGTGCGAGAGAGAAAATTCAAACTGAGAAAAATACAGATTATGTCGGGTTATACATGCTGCTGCCAGGTACACGTATTAAGTGTTTCGGGACTGTAATGTAATCATGTCAATTAAAATTAGGCTGTTGACCAATGAGTGAGGTCAGCAGCATGTAGTATGAGGTAGTGCAGTGGAAGTCAGTGCAAAAGGGCTCAGTCGCAACAAGGAAGAGGAAGGGAGGAATTGTCCATTCGCTCTATCTGATCTCTGTCTTTCCCTTGACAGCTATTGTACCAGTCCTGATGGGCCAGCGGGAACTCGAACAAGGAACCTTCTCAATTACTAATTTTAGGTTTACACTTTTCTGTCTTTTCTTAGGGTTGGCTTGGACTGGTTGATGATAGCTTGTTTTTTTGCGGGTTACTTTTTCCACTGAACCTACTGGACCTTTTCCTACCTGCCTGTTTTTTGTGATTAGGATAATCTTGTGATGCGCATGGCCTAGTTTAGTTGAGGGACGTTTGTTCTATGTTCCACTGCCTAGTGGTTTTCGAACCGCGCCAGTATTGTCCAGGGTTCTTCTTTCTGCCACTTGTCTCACCGCAGAGCAGTCCAGCTCTGTGCCCACCCACTGAGAGAGAGGCGAGGCTGTCCCCTTAACCAGTCCTGTACACAGTAGAGCAGCGTCTCTCTTTTGCTGGCTTCTCCCCAGCAAAACTACAGGCAATAGAAAAGGACGGCATGGCCCACAGACTCCGGTACAAAACATCTCGCCAGCAGTTTTTCTGCACAGAACCTGTTGAAGGAACCGGCGCGCCTTTCTCAGGCAAACGAAGTACAGCAGGAGCTCTGACACACACACTTTCCTGTGGACGACGTGTCCCCACCACTCTACCACGAGTATGCTGTCCAAGTCCAGCCTGTCCCATCCCAGCCTGCCAGCCCACACAGCACACTATTTATAAGCATACTGACCAGCCCTTCCACATCGCACCCCCCTTGATGGACCATGGGTTGGAGCGCTTCTGTCCTTCTGAAAATCCACCCACTATCTCCCTTGGTCTTGGAGCAACAGGTTAGACTCAATCCAGCCTGGCAGACAGTTTGACTCCCGGGGCGCCCCACCAAGTGTCGGACCTGCTCCGGGTCGGGCTGGCCTGGGGACCACACCAAAAAACAGCCTTGTCCCCTGACCCGTGCAGACGCACCCGCTCTTCAACGACTCTGACATAACCCTGTTGCCGTCTCTCCGTCCAGGTTAGTCCCCGTAACTCCACCTGTCACCAGGAAAGTGGGTTACCAACGCCTCCCAAATCTGCTGGGGGTCAGATTGGTCCGCCTCAGGGCAGGATGGTGTTGAAGGTTGGCTCGAAGGAAACTCACCAAAAAACACTGATTCTCAGCAGGCGCTGGGGCTGCTCCCTTATGTCGGCACGATGAGACCGGCGTAGCGACTCTGGGCGGAGGCACACTAAGAGGGATGGGCATCCATCCATTGCCCCCACTTTGCGACCTGGTATCAAACTGCCAGTGCGGATCTTGGTGGGTGTGGCGGCACTTTTGGGTATCGATGAGACTGGGAGGGCAGCCCAGCGTTTGAAGGTCTCTGGAACCGGGTCGGTGAAAAGTAAAACAGCGCCAAGAAACAGCATGACAACTAATATCTCCTACTACAAACTGCTTATTAAGGCGTACATACCTATCACCGATAACTACGAGTAAGCTTAATACTATAATCAACCCTACAGGGTACAAGGCTTACTAACTTTCATCAATCGATTCAAGTAAGTAGTAACAGCACTGTTATCGGAATCAAATAATGTGTTTGTTTCCAATATTCCTGGTCAGTTTCGGTGGGCCTTCCCACGGCGGTTTACCCGGGATGTCCCCTTCCAGGCTGCAGAAGCCTAGTGGAGCTCTGCGGGACCGCAGCGACTCATTCGCTCCAGATCATGCTGGACTTGGAAAAATGCAAAGCAGGCTACAAGCTAGCGACACCTTTAAATTACGAACACTC